TCCGTTAGACTTGCAACCGAACTTTTGCCGCAAGTCTCCAAGAATGCTACTCGGAGACCAGTGACCAGAGTACCGAAGTTGCTTCTTTTGCGCACTCAGGAAAGCATCTTCTCTGCTGAGGACTTGTGAAGCAAGTTACTTGTGTTCACGTGCCCGGGATGGGTCGATGACCTAATCAGTTTGTTTGAATTGAATCGAGGGACGGCTGTTTTGTGTTTGTGTTTCAGGGCTCCTTGGGCATGACATTTTTTCAAATGGTCCTACGGTTTGCATTTCTGCTTGTAGCAAAAAAGAAGCAAGCCACTGATTGCCAGAGTTGGACAGGGAAATCTCGCCCTCATCACACCGCAAAGGACATCCAGAAGCAGCTTCCAACAGAGTCTGCGAAATTCAAAGGAGTCGACAAGCTCGGTGCTCGGTTTTGTAGAAACATGCAAGGTCAGTGTAACGCTAAAACATCATTTTTGCTAGCTGTGGTTGGCAGTGTGAGCACAGCACGCATGTGTAAATGTTGTCTGAGCTGCAGCATGCTCGGGAATTGGCTTTGGACTGCTTGGAGAGAATATGGAGCCCTTCGACTCTTCTGGCCGAACACTTGCTAAACTGCCTTAGCCTCACCCTGAGAGTAGGGATCCAGGCGAAACAAGTCATTCCTTAGAATCCTTCAACCGGTCCTGGCGCGAGCCTGCTAGACCTTGCTGCACCAGGTTCTGGAAAGATACTCTGAAGAAGGTCGCACTCCGCAGATTGGCTGGAGGGTCGAGTAATCCCGTCTATCTTCCCCTGAAAGCCACGACTTCTTGCAAACCTTTACAGGAAAAGTTGACAACTGGGGGAGGTGATTAACTCAAGGATGGCCTCTCTGCTTCTCAACTGCTGTCACGTTCAACGAGTCGTTTAGGGCTCTACCTGCCTTCGGCAGCACCTTTCAGGAATTTGAATAGTGAAGTGTGGCATGAACAGTATGTTGTATGTACTCAGCCGTGCTGGATGGTGCCTGACACCGCGTGTTTTCATACTTGCAGGGTCGTGGCACTTTGAATCCGCCGCGCTGGCCCCGTGAAGGTGCGGCAGTCCTATCGCAAGGCAATGGAAGCGCCGGAGCCCTCTGTGTCAGTGGAATTCAGTGGAGGTTTGAGTCCGGTGATCGAAGTTTCGGATCGGTTTCTTACAGCTTATCTGCATCTGCTATACATGCATCAGACTGCATCTCAAACGCAAGTACTAAGCACTCGGGACCTTGACAAGAAGCTGGCAAACAAGTCAGATAATGCCCCATTGCAGGTGCCCAATTTGAAGAGGTGCTAAAGATCCCGAGATACAACTAGTTCTCATCCATTTTCGTCACGTGTGTATGCATCAGGGCAAGACTTGGCCCATGTTCGTTTGTAGCATTCCACGGCAGACATCCTGCGAGTTCATGTGTTAACATCCCTAAGGCTTGTGTTTGCCAATGTCCTGGTTGGTGCCAGATTGAAACATTGACAGCATATTAGGAGTTCAGTCAACATCCAGCTTCTGACATGCTAAGGTTTCACATTCCGAACCTCCTCGCCGGCTAGGGCCCTGGTGGGCTTGATTGTGAAGAGAACAGTTCTTCTTTTCATCCCACAGTCTGAGATGAGAACATAATGTGGCTTTTCGAACATGTACATTCTGCGCATATACTGCTAGCAAGCAGGCTGAATAAGGGGAAGACCCTAGTGTCAGAGCAGGTGTTGGGGTACCATATCGCATGGAGTTTAGGATCTTAGTTTTACATCAGTAGTACATCTACGGAGCTCTTGATGCACTATGAGTTTGCTGCTGTTTCCGAGTGTGTGCAACAATATATGGGCTGAGGAGTTTTTGGACTCAGTTGTGTCGTGAAAGGTGCAAGGTTTCCCAGAAGACGTGACTGAGTTGAGATTTCAAGAGACCTGGCCCCCTCGAGCTTATAGGCTTCTGTTGTACCCTATTATGATGGGTATCACCAATCACCTAGTGCGACAAGCATTTTTACCTGGCCGTGGTCCATCTTGGCTCATTCCAAGCCGGCCAGTTTTGGGCAGAAGCGGCGCCCTGCCGCAGACATTGTAAACCACACGCCTTCGCCCGGACGGTGACAGAGACAGACACACAGGCAAGGTAGTGCGGGGAGTGTTCATGAAGCTTCAAAGGGGTGCACGGTCTTCAGCAGGTTCGCTCCTTGAAAACTGGGCGCTGGGCACAATGGAAGCACAGATCGAGATGAATCACGGAAATCACAAGTCACCGTTCTACTTGTACCATTGTTCTTGCAAGACCCCTACCCTATGGCCCTCGGCTGTCCTATGCAAGTCTGCGTTTATGCTCTGCTCAAGCAGCATTGTTCTTCACGCAGGCAGGATGTCGATGCAGAGTCGGGAGCCCCAGCTGAGGGTCGGCAGGGCATGCGCACCAACCAGGCCGTGATGCCGCTTTTGGTGTCATTGACTTGGCTTAATGGTCTTGCAAGTCATAAAACCTATCGAATCGTCCTGAGTAAGCTGTCCGCCTCCCACGAAGTACGGCAGTTTGGGGGCCTGGGGTCATACAAGATGTCTTCCACCAACAGCAGCCTTTCCAAGCCAAGGTGGCAGCTTTCGATTCCTGAACCTCATCAAGCCTCTCGGCGCGCAAGTGTTCCTTAAACTTGCGAACTGGTGCAAGGGTTGAATTTTTTTGAATCTCAGCCCTCACTTTTCTTCAGAGGCCGGTGATGTGCGTCCTCCCGGAGGTGGAGGCTCCTGACCGCATCTTGGAGATGAAGTTTGAGGTTCGCAATATGGGGGTTTCCCAAAATTAGGGGTACCATTTTGGGGGCCCCAATAACAAGGGCTATAATATATTGGGGTCTCCCTATTTTGGAAACTACCATTCATTGGCTTCAGGCCGTGCACCCTGGGGTTTGACTTGCTGAGAGCTTCAGCTTCATACATTTAGAGAACGAAGCGCTTCATGAGACTAGGGCAGGGTCCTTTGCCTCCATTCATACCCTCCCTATTCTCTCTGCCAAGGTAGAATTCCCTTCAAAGAAAAAATCCTGTCAGAGCCCCAGTCTGTGCCTGGAGGGTAGGGTCAGGGCTGGGGAAGGTCATTGGGAAGAACCCGCAACACCCCGTGCAGGGTCTGCTTTTTGGGGCCGTAGGGGTCTGAGTGATATTGGTAAGGGTCTGGGGCCTTTTCGCATTTGCTCATGCCAGGAACTTCAGGAATCATATTTATTTGTATATGATCATTCTTGATCACGGGGTAAATTACGTGCCCCAAGAAGCCGTTGTCCTTTGACCATCGTCTGCTGCTGATGCAGGCTTGCAGGCAGTGCTATGAACGAATTCCGGGTCTACTTAGGAGCAATAGCGAGCACGGGCTCAGTATCTGAATTTCTTACCTTGCCAACACGTATGATTAAGACAATCCAACGGGCGACTGGAGAATCTGCAGCACAGGTGGACGTCCATCTCCCTGTTCGTCTTCTTAGTTTGCTGCCAGAGCCTAGGCAGCACTGAGCCTTCACAAAAGGTATAGTAGTCATTCAGGTGTGCTATCAAGGCTGTCCCGTCCCCTCCTGTCTGGCAAGCACTTGAAGTTGCGCGTGCTTGAGAGATAGCCTGCAGCCTCCTCTGCAGCCCTACCTGCTTCCATTTGGTTGTGACGGACGTCAGCTGTGCATAAAGTTGGTGGGCAGTTGGTGAAGCCGAGATCCGTGGTAGGGCTTTTGTGCGCTTCGTGGAAGTTGGACAACAGCTTTGCTAAATGCTCGCTAGGACGTTGAGGGAGGTACGTTTGATGGAGGAAATCTTGCGCCACGTAGAGTCCAGAATCACTGCAGTTCCCTGGACTTGAGACACCGGGCATGGTGCAGCAGGATTGCTTGCATCAGTGGCAGGTTGCCCAACAGTCCGGAGGATGCTTCCACTCGCAAAGAACTTGCATTGGTCCTTGCGGTCCCAAGTTAATACCCTACCTTTAACTTCAAGGATCCCACTCTACGGCGTGCTGACTTCGAAGAGTTGCTTGGCTACCCCCTTTCCTCAGCGTGTTGCAGGATTTTTCCTGGAGGGTTGTGGATGCCTTCATTGGATTTTAGATTTCTAGCCTCGGGAGGTTCCACAGGTCGCTGTGATCAGCTTCGTCGGTTGCAAACCGTTTATCCCAAAGCTAGGTCCGCGAGAGGTGGGATAAAGGGGTGGAACCTGTAGCCTGTGCATGCTAGCCAGTTTTTGGGTCTCTATCAGAATTCTATCAGTAGTTCTGTTTCTACCAGCGCAGTGATCACTTCCCCAGTCACAGACCAAGCACTGCACGCGTGGAGCCAAAGCATCTGAGGTTCCGATCCATTCTACTGGATGAGGGTGATCCTTGCCCTTTGGCTTGCATAGTTCATTGTCATGTTGTGAATTTTAGGGACCTGGCGCTCAGAATTTCTGGGCGAAAGGGTCCAGCATTTTGGTTGGAATTTGCAAGCCATGGGCTTGACAGATGATTCCGTTTGCGATGGCGGTGATGACGGTGATCTTTATGATGTTGATGATGGTGGTGAGTGGTGATGATGAGGACGACGTTGGACCTGCTGATGATGATGATGATGATGATGGTCATGATCGCGGTATCTATCCTTTTGCCTGCGAGGCTTCCAATCGAGGCACCCTTATGGAGTCGGACTCCTCAGCAAGCAAGATGGCGACGGGTTGATTCTGTTCAGTCAAGGGCTACTAAAAATCCTGCATGACCCTAAGCACATCATTTATTGGGAATAATGGGACTATTGTATCTTAAGGTCATGCAGGATTTTTCGTATCAACAGTATGTCATGAATCATGTGTGTTTTGGACTTGGGATTTACGATTACTTGCAGCTGCATGATCTGACGTCTGTCTATCGTGGAAGTTGCATGGGGTCTCTTGCATCCCATGCTTCCTGCAGCGAAGCTTTCATACTTGGCCCAGCCTCTGGGGAAAGTGCCGAGGCTTGGAATCTCTCCAATTATCACTTCGGGCATGGCCGATTTGGCTGCACTATGCTTGCACAGTCCAAGACATCCTGGAGCATGCATGCTTTGTGGCTTTCTGGAGCCCAGGTGATGCAGCTCTTAGCCGGCAGCAGGACCTGAACACAAGCAGAATTAAAGCTGGGCTTGCATTGCCGCAAGAATGTGAGTGGGAGGAGCAAGTTTCTCAGACTCTGCAATTTTTATGGGGATTGTGCAGGATTATTGACGTGGACCTGACGCTGAAAGAGGATAAGATCCTGTTCCAGGGCGCGCAGAAACTGTTGCTCGCCATGCAAGTATTTGGTGGTTTATCAAACTTACGAGCCACTGTTTGCACAATGTATTCCTTCCTGTTGGGGCTACTTGAAGGAGCGCCCATTCTTGAGAGGTTGCCGCCTGTCAATGCTCAAAGAATACCATCGCCCCACAGCAACCTTGGACTCAGGTTCGGCATGCTTATCACCATGGGAGAGGCCTTTGAGAAGAGGGAAAGCTCGGTTAGGGAGTGCGAAGCATGCATCATGTTTCCAGGCTGTGGCCTATGTCATGAGCGGCATGTACGGCAGCCTTCGCGAGATCGGCCGCTTGAACGGATCCACAAGTTTTATCCAAGACTCCCAACACTTTGCTATCCTGCTTCGTAGTTCGGGCGGCTCTTGATATTTCAGCTTAGCAGTGCTAGGCAGTGTGATCAGGAGGCATCATATCTGCAGAAAAGGCAAGAAGGCGGACAAGCAATCAAGACCTGAACCTAAAAGGAGCGACCAGTGCTATCCTGATCATCCTCCAGCTCTTCTTTGCTGGCATTGTGGTGATTCTCCTGGATGCGCCCCAGCCGCTTTTGGAGGTAACTTGGGAATCTGAAGGCATGTGGATGAGGCTGAAAAAGGAGTGGTGTTCGAGAGTTCAAGTTTTAGACTGCCTCGTGAACATTGACGAGCTTAAGGCTTCCATCTTCAGCTTTGTCTAGGCCTAGGCCGCTCACATGACTTGTTATGATGACGTGCCTGAGTCTGAGGAGCTAATGCAGAAAGGCTACGGCATGGGCTCCGGTATCTCGCTGTTCATCGCGACGAATATCTGCGAGAGCCCCGCGGCTGTAATCTACGACAGGACTTAGAGTGACTGACTGTTATTACTGCTCATATGCCTTTTTGCATGTTTTGCATGGCGTGATCATGCCAATGCTGTGTGCCAAGGGCTCTAGAGCTACAGGTACCGCTCTTTGCGTTGATTCCATTTGGAGGGTTTAGATAGAAGGACGCTGGAATGCGTAGGTGTCGGACGTGAACAGATTCCTTGCTGCACAATTTCAAATCTTGCTCCCGCAGGTCAGCAACTTTATGAAACCTTGAGTCACCTACAACATACTGTAACCGCGTTGGAAGTCTTCCAGGCGAAAATATTCTTAACGTAGCCAACCGCAAAACTTTGAATTTCCCAGTTTGCGAACAGCAACTTCACTCCCGCAAGCCGAGGCATCATCTGGAAGGCAAGACTGCTGGGTCTGTTGCAGCTGTCTCTCAGCGCGGATCCTTACAGACTTACAGATAGAAAGGATTCGACAGGAGAAGGATTTCTTGAAATTTGTGGAAACTTGCAGGGGCTACATCTTGACATTGCGCATTGTTGCACCCAACTGGCGTGATGTTGTTCGCACATTTGGGTTTGGCAGCACTTGGCATCAGAAGCTGCAGACTCCCACAGGCTTTCTCGCCGACGACAATGAACACTGGCAAGGGCAACTTTGCAAGAAAGAGCAATAGAGTCAGCCCTTCAGCATGTTGTGCTGTCCTAAGGAACTGAGTTTGAGGGTGCCATTGTTGCCACTTTTCATTTCATGGCGTCGAGGACTAGTGGCCGAAGCATCCAGACCTTCTCGCATCTGCGTGCCCTGAGCAAGTTCCAGCTTTCCTTGGCAGGAGTGACAAATTGATGGCCTTGAAGGAAGCCTTCTACAGGCAATCTGCGCCTTGGCGACAGGAGGACATCGAAGCATCCACGATGCCGGCAATGCAGTTGCCACCGACATGTTATCAACCAGATATATTCAGGTTCTGTGTATGATGAGGCATAGCCTGTTCCACTGAGGCGCCGAACTTGACGAACCTTTTCGCGACCGCTGCTTGGTTGCAGATACAACTGTACCCGGATGGTATCATGTCGCTTGCTACGGTGTGTGGCTTTTTCGAAGCATTTTCGAAGAGAACTCGGCAAGGTGCTTGTCTTCTTCATCGTGATTTACTTCCAAGGCAGGTTGTGCCGTAAGGAATGAGGCCTGTCTCCGTCAAGGTCAGGCTTGCGTCCAGCTGAAAACCCTCCCATGCTCCAAGCCCAAAGCTCCAATCCTACGGCCGGCTTGAAGGTTTCAAAGTCGACCTTCCGGTGAAGTATCAGAAGATGCGAGGGTCGCAGGCTGGGACTCCTGAGCTGCGAAGAAAGCTGACGTCACCTTACTGGCCAACCATCAGACCGTGCCAGAAAATGTAATAGCACTTTTTCGCATGTCTAATCTTGCCCAGTGCAGACGGGGAATCCTGCAGCAGGGCTCCTTCCCCATCAAGCTCTTCTACACATCCAACATCCCCATTATTCTGCTGGGCGCTTGGAGGGCGCTTGGAGAAGGGGAAGTGCGATTGAAGCGTTGGCAAGACTTCTGAGCTTCACTCTTGGTAGCGATTGGCATGAGGAAGATCACTGGCAGGCAAACTCAGTAGCCGCCTGGGTTTTCGTGATTCGCTTCAGGCAGACGGCGTTGGTGTCCAACCTGTACTTCCTGTCGCAGCTGCTTTACAGGCCTTAGGGGTGTGATAGCCACACAGGATCACTCACTGCTCAGTCCGGCGGAGCCCCGAACAAGCTTCCTTTCACAGCTGGCCCATGCTGGCCCACGGGCCAGGTGGCGACTTTTTGATTCTTGGGGATAGCACTGGTTGTACGGTTTGAAGCCAAAGCCTTGTTCTGTCTGAGGCGCTTCAAGTCTAACATGCTGGTGAACTTGCTCGGCCAGTGGCAGGCCAGTCTCTCTTGCAGGGTCTTTGGCAGGATTTAAGTTGGAGTTGGTCTCCAGACAGTTCTGTTAGAGTCACAGGAAGCGGACTTCGGTGGGCAATCCGTGCCGGTGGGTGGCTTCGCCTACTACATCTCGCCACCCAGCAGCGCAGGGACCCTAGCAGCCTTTGCGAAGGATTTATCATTTGCCGGCAAACTCTCTTTGGGATGGATAAGATTTTGACCACTGACCGATCAGAGTCTCAGTGCGCAGAAGCTTTGATGCCGAAACCTCGAGGTCTCGAACATCTGGGAAGATCCACTTCATGCAGCTTTGCTCAAAAGCTTGGGTGCGATGGTCTGAATGCCCCAGGTTGCCGCCAGAGCAGTGAAAATGCAGGCGTAACGCTACTTGCCACTCGAAAAGATTCTCCTTCTAATGATCTGAAACGGAACTGTAGCCGTAACCTGCATGAAAGGCATGGTAGTTGCAGCTGCCTTGCTGTTCTCGATGGGACGCCTATCGCCCAGTGCTTTCAGGGATCAACCCATGGTGACTGGGGGTTACAGCTACAGCCAACAGCTACCACAGCTCACCAAGAGAGACTCCGGTGCTAGAGCCGCTTCTTTACAGGCACTGATCTATGTGTCCTTCGTCCTCATCTCTTGCGCGCTGTTCTCCAAATTTTGGATTGAGGCCGGGAAAGGGTCGGAAAGTCTTCATGTTTGCCGGCAGAGCTGGTGTTTTGTGAAAATGTAGGCTCGAGTTGACGCAGACCTGCAGTATGTCCTTCCAGGGTTTGACTGGGGGTATGGGCGCGTGATCTTCAGCCTTGGATTGTGCTCGGCTATGTGTCCATGCAGACTTCATGCAGCTCCCCAGCCAAGCACCGCAAGAATCCCAAGCGCATGAGGTGTCTGGGTCCTCGCCCAGGGATGTGGCGAAGCACCTGCGAGATCAGTCCATGGTGTTCAAAGGCCGAAAGGTTTGGGTGTAGATGAGGTTTGCAGGTAGTGCAAATGGCTGAAGTTTCTGAAGTTTCTGAATCGTTGCTGGCCAAGAGCTCTGCAAATGCCAGGCCACAGAGAAGAATCTTTGCCCGGGGCTCGGAAGTCTTACCTCTTTCATCAGTACGGATCACTCTTTGGACCACTCCGGCTACTCGGTGGGTGTACATTAGTGTATATGCCTCAGCATTCACGGGTCTCCCCACTTCTCCTCCAAGTCTGTATGATCGGGTGTTGCCCTGTCTTCAGCAAAAGCACAGTATGAAGCCTTACGAGCCCTTCAATACCGGGAGCTGAGACCCGCTTTGAGCATTGCATCTGGGCTAGTGGCCAGAATCCCTCCAGCCTAATTCCAAACCGCAAAACGCCTCAATCTTAAGCTCTACGCTCCTCGTAGCCCCCACAAGCCCTGAAGCCCCCGCACCGAGGCTCAAGGTCTTGGACATGTACATCCCTACTGCTGCAGCCTTCGGAGGCATGTGCATTGGCGCCTGCCTGAGATGATTCCTCTACAACAACCAGGGAGAGATCTTGGGGTTCTAAGTTTTTTTGTCCGTCTCTCTTTCTCTCTCTCTCTCTCTCTCTCTCTCTTTGGTGAGTTGGAGCTAGTATGGAGTGTTCAGGTCAGGCACATCCTGAACATCCAAGATTTCATGCCAAACCTTACACCTACACGCAACTTTTCAACAAGCAAAGAGCAAGCTTTCCTTCCCCCCAAAGCTGCCATATTTCTGCTTCCGCCCTGTAGAGGCTGTAAAGGTTGCGGACATGGATCCATGAATCCGAAGATGGGGCGTGTGAGATTCTGCTAGTGTTATGGCTACCACAGGAACTGTCAATGCTGGATACTGGTTGACCGTTGACCAAAATGTCTGGAACGTGTTTGACCCTGGTTTGAGATTCCCACGTCACCTCAGGGATGTTGACCATCATGGCTGACTTCCTCGGCGCAATTGGCAGCGGTACGGGAATTCTGCTGGCGGCCGGGTACCCATTTTTTGCGATTGCGATTCGGTGTGCAGTGAGATGTCTATCCCTACTCAGTTGGCAGCTTGAAGAATCATGGAAGGAGCTTTTTGTGGGATCATTTCAAAACGCACAGAGGGAAGCTATTGAGGCTTGCAGACATGGGTTTGGTGTACTATACGCTCCATGCTGACGCAAAGGTCACTATCATCTACCAGTACTTCGAGATGATCTACAAGGCTTGCGAGAGCCGTGTGAATTCCAATTACTTGATATTTCATACTTAATTAACTGGCAGCTGTTGACACCGTGGCGAACAAAATGCAAACCGGTAGTCCAGCATGCCCTACTCACAGGCAGGCCGTAACAGCACTTACAGAACGTGACTTTACTCAAGCTTGTTGCGTCCTCGGTATGAAGCCTGAACAGCCAAACTTTCTTCTGGTCGAGGATCTCGGTTGCTAGCTGTTGTTAGGAGCCCTGACTGGCTTTGGCACTCAGGGCCATGTCTCTTGGCCGTGTTTGCAGGAGAAAGAGCAGGGCAACATGTTGTTCTGAGCGCGCCGTTTGAACCTAGCTTCCCAGCGAGATATCGCAAGCTCACTGATGAACCTTAGAACCCCTTCTGGATCAGCAGTTTGTTGCGAAAAAAGAGTAGTCACAATGCTCGCTGGCAAAGGACGCGAAGGTGCAGCTAGGGCTGCAACAGCCTGGGCAGGAAGGAGAGAAGACGATGAAGACCAAGGTTTCATGCTGGATGATTGAGCGAGAGTCTTCCTGAAATACACTATCGCCACAGGTTTCGTATGTACTCAGATATTCGCGTCATGATCATGGCAAAAGTGGCCTTGCAGCGATTCTCTTCTTCCGATCCCGGGTGGTATTGTCTACTCCATCACAGATGGGTCTCGGGTATCTGGGAAGTCAGCAAACTTTAACGAAAGGATCCATCTTCAATAGTAGACTTTGTCTGATTTGTGGCAATAAACATAGCCCCTGACAGTCACTTGTCCAGACTACCTCAGCCCGCTCTGGAGGGCCGAGCAAGCAAGCCCTGCCGGGATGAGCAATCTTCCCATAAGATCCCTCAACTAGTTGGGGCTGTGCTGAGCTAGCCATGCCATTGAGCATTGAACTTGGGCTCCTAAGAAGCCGGCCTGGCCGCGCAAAGAGCAAGCCAACAGCTCTGCACAGTTGGAGCTCTATGAGAACAGAGGTCATACCATTTTCAGAGGTCTTTTTGTGCGGCGGTTGCGGCCCGCATGCCACACCTGTGTAACTAGAGGAACTTTGGAAGCATCTACGTGATGTGTTTATCACGGGTCCTGTTTGAGCTTGCCTGCTCGGCCCCGAGGATGCACAGACATCCATGCATGAGGATGTTAGCTGCCCAGGCAGCCCCTCCAATCTGACGCTAACTTGCGGTCATCCCCTTTGCGGCCATGAGCCCAAAGTGAGACCCACAAAGCTGAGAAACCCTCAAGATCACCAAACCCATCCACAACCCTGAATCTTAAATCGGGCTGTGCGAGCAGCCCTTGTGAGCCGGCTTAAGTCGGTCCTAGGTCTCTTGCTGAGGCTCTGTGGGAGGTCGGAGCACAGGGTAGCCTACCTGTCATGGAGAGACAAAGCCCAATGTTGCCAAATTTTGCCCAGAATTTTAGGTTGGCATTTCTCTGGTCCCCTGCAAGCCTCAGTGGGTTCTCAGACTCACTCCGGTGCGCTTTCGAAGGAAAAGTTGCAGGGTTCAGGGCGCAATTGAGATCTATAGGGCTGCTCGAACTTGTCAGCATCTCTTCTGGCAGTGCAAAGCCGATGGCCGCAACAAGACCTCCTGAGAGCAATGCCGGTCTTACTTGTTCTGCATAAGCAGCAAGAATCAAACCAGGGCTGGTGTAGAAGTCCAGACGTTAACGCTACTCGCATTTCTGTCGTCTTCCTGTTGCTCTGTTTCCGAATGTCTCCGACCCAGGTTTCCAAGAGTTTCTCCGATGCAAGTCACCTGTTTGATCCCGCCCGTCAGGAAGCATGCAGTGACGGGGGCCGCTTCTAAGTGAGCGGCCCCAAACCCTGAACCCTAAACCCAGCCTTACCAAAAAACAAAAACTAAAACTAAATCGTAAGTCGTTTACCCTGAGCTCTTGACCCATAACCTTGTCCTGGTGCTGCCTGGCAGCTTGAAGCTTAAGCCTCCAGACCGGTACCTGGTTCATCAACTGAACCCCAAACACCCTCATTCCTCAATTGCTAAGCCCTGTGCGCCTAAGCACTGGATCATGAAGGGAAAGCCCAAGACCGCTAAAGCCCAAAGCACCACAAGCTGGCCCTCTGAGGGTTGTTGAATGCCAACGATCAGTTAGACCAGATCCAGAAGAGCCTGGAGGCGGATGACTCAGGGATAAAGCGGGGGAGTTGCGCTGTGGCTCAAACCCATCTCTCTTTTTTTGTTGCCAGTTCCATGCAGAGAGCTGAATAACTGGCACGTCACTGATGACAATGTGGCCCCGGGTCACCTTAGAAAATGGCTCTAGAAAGTGGCTCTATCTACAGCTGTGGCCTCCGGAATTGAAGGAGAGTTTGAGCGAATGAATTGGGCCATGCCTTTGTGGATCTGCTTGATAGTCTAGAGTCTAGACGTTAGGGTCTGTTCCAGGGTTGGACTTTGCCATGTTTCACCTGCTTGCTGGCTTGAATCGGGAGTTGGGATTTAACTGCTGAAAGCTGAATGCCACCATACAAAGACTGATCCTGCTTCTGGTTTGGGGGTGTGGAGCACTCAAGCGTTTCTGACGTCAGGGGCTTTTGGTAGGAACCCTCAGATGCGCTGCACAAGCATCGAACCTCACATGGGCTCCTACATCGAAAGCATTGTAGACTTTGTCATTTGGCGTCTAGGGACAGTATATCTAGGATTGACTGGATTTGTGTAAGTGGTTTCCCAGGCAGAACCAACTTCGGAGTGGGGTCACGATTTCCTGCTGTCAGAAAGCCCAGTTGCAGTAGTGAGGCCTACTTGGAGACAAAGCGCGCCTCCTTCCCGTTGCTCGTCGCACTTCAGACTTTGGGTTTCGCTTGGATGGCGATTTGGGGATGGACGTCTCTCGTGCAATTCACTTGTTGGTGACCGCGTGGAGGGATTTGATGCACAATTCTACAGCAGCACCTTTGCATTTCTTATGCAGGCGCTTCTACTTCCTGTCTGATGACGAGCTGTTGAGCATCATGTCCCAGACAAGGTTCCAAGTCCATTGAATCCCTTGAAGCACGGTTGATGGAAGAGGGTGTTGGCCAGGAGGGTTTCTCAAACTGGAAAAGAGCGACAACTTTAGGTCTGTGGCGGAAACAGCCGCCTCCGCATTATGAAGGAAATCCCTTGGTCCCTGAATTTTATACGGGTACATTGATCGAAGCTGCCTGTTCACCTGTTGTGCGAAATTCTCCTTCTGCAGGAACCCAGAGGCTGTGCAGGAGCACCTCTGTAGCCTGGCATCAAGGGTAAGCTGTATGGTCCGGCAGGTGGGGACTGGGCTAGGCCGAGTCTCAGACATTCGACAGATGTCAGTGGGCGTTTTGGGCTTCAACTGCATGGTGATTCTTTCAAAGCGCGGCCCGAAACCATCTACCAAGGCAAGTGCTTTGACGCGATCAGCAAGGTCACTTTCACGGAGGCGGGGGCTTCTGGTCCCGTAGCAACTTGCTGCACAGGTTTGCTCCAGCCCTAGGGAAAGTGAGCACCTTTGAGGGCTTGGGGCTTGAGGCTGGGATTGTCAATGTCGTTCCACTCGCGTTAGGTCGCTTAGGTGCTGAGCTTGAGAGGCTTCTCGCTTTACATCCCCAAGTGTCCTTTGCCTATTGCTCAGCGTGCATGAAGTCCAGTTCACGAGGACAAGAAGAAGGACATTGTCGACATGAACGACATGATCAAGGAGAAGGTGGCAATGCTCATTCATTCAATCAATTTCGCAGTCTGCTGAGCGAACAAGTGCACAGAACTCCGGGGCTATCAGCCTTCCGCACACTCTGCGGTGGTTCCCTGACAGAATTTCTCCGTGAAACAAGGCCTTGTGAAGGCCAACAATTTGTAGTGCCAGCATCCTCATGAGATCTATCGGCGCAACATCGGAGGTGCACTTTGTCAGTCCAGTGCAGACGCATGGGGCTCCAGTCGAGCGCTGGCAGATGCCCCAGGAAAGCCTGCTATAAGCCAGCCAGGGATATGAGCCCAGAGGTTTGGTTTGGGGACTTTCTTTCAACCCCTCCCAAAAAGATTGGCAGTCTGGGAGTGTCATATAGTGTCAT